GGGGGGGAGCGGGGAGCGGATAGCGACGGAGACGGAAGTATAGAGGTGGCGAAGACGGAAGTGGAGGAGGCGGCCGGCGGTGAAAGTGGCGACGAAGGTGGAGCTCCGGCGTCGCGCTCCGCACTATGGATCCGCACGGGCGGCTTCCCTCCGAGAGGGAGGGAAAGAATCTTGCAGTCTGCCGGGCGCGCAGGCGGGATGCACTTTGAGGTGCGAGAGCGACGGGGTCGCTGCACACGGCAAGATGGTGGCGAACGGTATGCGAACTCTCGCGCAGCAAAAAAAAAGAGTGTCTATGGAGTCCCCGCTCTCTTACTTCGCGCGGGATGGCTACGCATTAAATAAATGGCAATCGTTGTAATCGAGGGAGAAAGTGGACGCGCGAAGAAGATATTGTTTGTACTATTTACAGGCCATCGACTTTGGAGCTCGGTCGGTGGTCACGTGGCTATAGCTGTAACTGTCGTTTAGGAAGTCGTTATTTTTATTTTATGTTAAAATTGAAAATTTGCTACCAAAATCTCTCGAAAATATTAGATGATGCTAAATTTAAAGAAAACGATAGAAGGATATGTCTTTCAGTTACCATGACGAATTTATTTCTTAGAATAACATTTCTTATCGCGAGAGCTCTTTAAAGTTATGATTGTATTACATAAACAACTGGCGACTATATGTTTCGCAAGCTGAACCATGTGTGAACAAACAGTCTTTACAAAGTTATTTGTTACACACAATAAATAATCCCGCAAGATTCATTGCGTTTTTATCGCCGTTCCAAGACACGATCATGACAAAACGTTCTCCAGTCTCGTTCCACGTTTTTTGTTGCTCCAGTTCGTTCTATCGTTACTTCAGGATTAACCTAATCGTTGGTTGAAATATTCGTTCGATTTACCATTTCAGTTTAACCACTACGTTTCCTGCTTAACACTATTACCAGCCACTCCCAGCTACCTCCGTATACCCACACACATATATATACCTTACAAGCGCGTTCTATAAAGAAGGTAGACTGCAGAAACCCGGCTGGCTGATGCGGATTCACCATCGCCGGTAAGAGGCTGCAGTCGATGAAGGAAAATGTCGGCGCCGTTTCCCGAGGTGGAGGTCGACAGTGGTGGTGGTGGTGATGGTGGTGGTGGGATGAAAAAAAAAGGGGAGAAGAGAGCGAGAGAGGAGCACGGTTGTGGAAAAGGTCCGGGAAATCCTGGCCGGGGCGACATACCTCCCGCGAAAGGTGGGCTCGTAGGTGGAGGCGGTGAAAGCTCCGCCTCTCTCTCCATCGTGCTTTCCATCGCGTCCGCGACGCATTTTCCTACTTACGCGCGAGTTCACGCGCGCGAGGGAAGCTCGCCCCCGCGAGAGCTCGTCTGCCCGCAGTCAATCCCGCGGAACGCCACGAAAGACGCCTCTGGCCTTCTCTTCCTCCCCCCTTCCCTTCCCACCCCTCTTCCCCTGTCTCTCTTCACCCTTCCGAGTCATTGAACTCCATTCCATCCTGCTGCATAGAAATGGAAACGCTCGGCGCTTACCGTCGAACTGTCGGCGATACTTTGTTGCGAGCGGAGGAGGGTAATGTCGTAGATATAGACCCGTGGGAGAACGTACGGCGGGGATAAACGTACGTATAGGCGATCTTAATAACAGCGGATAAGAGACGCGTGCGAAATGCAGACGAAGCTTCAAAAGATGTTTAGAAGACAGCACGCGAGAATTTGAAAAATCGTACTTGTAAATTTTTCAACGATATCCGTTAGGGAATTATGTTCCCTGTCGCGCGGCGATGGAAAATTTATAAATTTAGTATACATTTGGATTGGTATTGTGCGATGTTACAAAATTTTTAAAAGTGTTATATGAATATGCGAATAAACGATAATTTCAAGCAGGAATAAGACGCCTACAGGTTTATTTTAAATATTCTTTTTTAAATGACACTTTTATATCTTTTATTCTAGCATCGCGTCCCTCAGTAATACCATATCCTATGAAGAAATAGACTCTTGAATTAATTAAACAACGCACAATAGAAGAAGTTAAATCTTATGGTTATATTTTAACTAAAGATAAACCCTTGAAACGATTCAAATCACTACGTGCAACAGAATTTTATCGACTGGCAAGCGAATCTACACGGCGTTATTCGGTTCACGCATTTTAATGTAATTTTAAAGATAAAATTCATGACATAATTAAATCTTTTGACGACGCATTTGAGCAAGCTGCCGGGGACGTGTCATTTTAAGCAAACTTTTCTTGTAATCTATGATCTAGAAAGGGGATCTAGAGAGGCGCAATTTCATCCGACCGTCGAATCGTGGTCACGATCATAACTGGACCAGCGGGCCAAGGAAGGCGACTCCAGACTCCAAGGGCACGCGGCCGCACGTGGCAGTCGCTCGCGAGCGTCTGGGCACGATCCGCGGTTTCCGTCGGTCCCGACGGAGGCTGCACGCCGCGCCGTCGCGGCGGGGCGTGTTTCTCGCTCGACGAGCCCCGACGGGCGGCAGGGATGACGGGCTCGCAACACGGCGCAAGTCGGCCACCCGTTCCCGACGCCTGCGGACTCGTATTCGCACCGCGCGTTGCCGCCCCCTTTCGCCGAAGCGGGGACAGGCCGCGTCTGAGAGGTCCTTCCGTTCCCGCCGCACGGTTCCCTCGTCCTGCGGCACCTTCGCGGGCGTCGCCGACGAAAGAGCCGGGAGAGAGATCCAGGTGCGCAATCCTCTCGCCGGCGTCTTCCACGCGTCGTTCCTTCCCGTCGCTCTCGTACCTCTCACCCCCTCCGACCTCTCTCCTCGCCCGTAACATCTCGCTCCCTTCCAGTCGCGCTGCTTTTTTTTTTTTAGCCGCTCTCTCCATCTCCGTCTGCGAATCTCTCTCTCTCTCCCGGCTCTTCGAGAGAGTAGGAACGCGCGCACACAAATTGAGAGCGAGAAAGGTGCAGCGGACCGAATATTTTCACACACGGATCGCGAAGGTTTGCCAAATTCGATTTCTGCTTGCGTAAGATTAATTGGAGGCGATAAGGGACGGTGAGGCGATAGCCGTCTGTGCATACCTGAGTTAACAGACGTACTTGAGTTAACAAAAACAAAAAAAACATGCTAATTGATATTAGATATTAAATAGTAAAAGAAAAGATCAAACATCCAGGATTAAATTGATTATACATATATGTGAATTTGGTTTCAATTTTTTCAAATCTTGAAAGATCAAAAACATTTATATATTAAACATTATTGTTGTAAATGTTACGCTATTTATAAATTTTATAATCAAATTTTGTCATTAAGTTTAAAGTGACACGAAATATTAGAGCTTTGGCTTTTAAAAAATTTCACGTCGGAATTATGTAGCAAAGAAGCAATGTGCGTATTTAAAAATGTTTTTATAGCTGAAAGAATAAGCATGAGATGCATTTAATAAATAAATATTTAAAAAATGTATGACAAATTTTTAAATCTTTATACAAACAACCTGAAATATATGTTTATTAACAAATAAATAGAAATAAATAAAACACTGCGGAAAGGTACAAATTATAAAATTATATCTAAATGGAAATTCATTTATATTAATACCGCTAACTGTTGGAAAAATTGCTTTTGTTCTCCATTTGGAAATAAAAGAATTTCGTGATTCGCATAATAATTTGTTAAACGCGATTACGACAAAATTTCGCGTTTACTTCGAAAAGTACATGATCGCATTATTTTATGTCGTCCTTTTCTAGGACGATCAATCGAATGATTGAGCGGTAATAGCAGTTTAATCGCATTTACATCGAAGCAAGCTTCACATCGAGATTGTGCACGCATGAGACCCGAGGGAACTTTTCATTTACCAGATAGATAAGGAAAGTGCGCGCGATTACTTACCGATAGAAATATCGCAGGTAAGTGATCAATTATAAATGCCGTGGCGAATACGACATGCAGCTGTAGCTGTTATTCATGGGCTACAGGTGCGATACGGCACGAGACGACAAGTTACCTGCAGTGCACTTCCTGTTGTATGCAAATTTCATTCGGCGGGAGCTGTCGCGAAATCTTCGACAATTAATTTTCAAAATAATCGCCGACGAATTGCACATATCCTCTGTCATCGCACTCGGAAAGGTAAAAGCCGCTTCTTTATTTATTTATTTCGTAAACACGCGATATAAATTATTCGTTGGAAACGCAATTAAGTTGGCAATTATACTTATCTGGCCACGTTCATTTCATCTTGCTATCTTGACGCGCAATCTATTCAATATAAGCAACGAAGACAAAAGGCAAAAAGTGCGAAGTGGCTTAAATGCGTGAGAAAGACTCGGAATAATGCAATATTAATGAGTAAAACGGTACTGCGCGACGTAACACGAGCAGGTTTTGTAAGGCAATCCTTATAAGAAATTGAACTTGGGGTCGTACGAAACGTATTTATTTTATTTTGCATAAATATACAGCAAATGCAAAATCGATAAGTTTGACGACGCAACGTTAGCTTAAATAAGTTAATATCATTATGCTTCTTCCTCAATTTTTTTCTTGTCGTCAAAATTATTTTTCGTTTGTATCTCGTAACTTTCGAAAGTGATATTGAGCTGTTAAACAGTGCATATCACAAAGTTGAAATATGTAACTAACTATTCTTTTAATTCTTTTTTGCTACTAGCTACTGCGCAACTAATGTAGCCAAACAGAATTCTCTCTTTGAAAATAAACTCTTTGAAAAATTAATTCGAATTACATAATTGTCTAAATTTTTGTGTTTGCTTCTAAATGCTTTCTGTCTACGTCTAAATCTATGCTACTCTTTTTCGCTCAACGCCTCAATTATTAGAAAAATATCACACATGGCACGCTTATTATTTCGCAGACAAGAAACATGCTTTCGCATATAGGGATACGATGGTAAACGAAAAGTCCATATAATAAATATATTATTTATTTAATTTCTATATTATTATAATAATAATAATCAGTTGCAGTATATTTAATCTATACTTACAAAGAGACGGTCGAAACTATCTCTCACCGATTTTGACGAGACTGTGAATGCATTGTAGAACAGCAAAAAATAAGAGATAAGTATTTTTTTATGTACGTATGTGTCCTGCACATTTAAGGATTAAGGCAACTCTTCGAAGCGATATTTTATTTCGGCCGAATATTGAAATTGCGCAATACATGAAAAAAATCTTTTAGGAAATTTTACGATATTTTACATTTCATAACTATATATATTTAGATTTTTCGAAAATATTTTTTAATATGATCCTCCCTCCTCTTCGCCTATTATTATTTAGATTGAGATTGATCCGAGAATGGTCGTTTTAATTTTCAAACGTAATACGAAAAACACGCATATAAAAATATACGTGTCTCTTCTTTTGATGCCGTTTCGTAATATGTTCAAAATCCATCAAAATCGACGATGGACAGTTCCGACTGTTTCCTTGTTCAGTAACCGATAATATATAACATAATGTGATCAGGATCTGACTTGGGTGGGACATGACAGCGTCTTTGCGTGTGTCTTTGTATATGGTATAACTGCATGTGCGTGATTTTCTGTCGAATATATATCTCTGTAAACGTACATGTACTTTTCTCACGTCGAATCAAAGGCACAATTGGTGATTTTTTTTTTGTTTGAACGAACAACAGTAATTGACCTACGTGTATCGTCGTTTTAACTCCCGTCCTCTTCTAACCGCGGCTCTATATCGTTTCAAGATTCAACAAAAATCGTCAATTCTAAGATGTCAAAATTGTCCCTAGGACCTTGGAAGGGTGGGCGAGTGATCTATGTCGGCGAGAAGTCACATCGAGATTTTATCGTCAGCGTCATAGTTTGTCTTCTGTATATACGACTGCTACTCTAGAAATCGAGATAACGTGCGTCGTTTCGACGTAGGCCGGATCGTTTCTTTTTTTTTCTTAGATGCATCTTTCGCCAATGATCGATACTAAAAAAAATTACGAGTTGACGTTCGAGAATCTAAATTGGCACTTAATTCGTTTCTGTATATTCGGCGAAATTGAATGTGAAACCCGGAAGACCCGTGCAATTTACAACGAAATGACGCATGGCTTTATTTTATATGACCGTCGTTGCGGTTGCAGACGCGTTGCGTCCGGTTCCGGATGGTGGATTCGGCTTTTAAACGTCGACCTTATAAGGCGAGCCGGGGATGTGATCGTCGCCCCATTTGACGATCACGATGTACTCGCCCCGCTCGCGCACCAGGTAACTCACGTTGTAATTGTTGCGGCCCGTGTGCTTCACGAAGACCTCCTCGCATGGCCCTTTGGGCCCGTACACGCCCACGTAGAGAATATTGTTACCTGCAATTACGGCATTGATCAGGGATTTTCAAGTGATAATTTAAAACGAAAAGTTAATTAATCCAGCGATAGTTAAAAATTCTCAAAATTGTCATTTAGATTTACAACAATATTAACAATAAAGTATGTAGACTGTAATACAATTTAATCGGTAGATCGATGAAGTTTAATTGGAAAATATATTTTTATATGCTTGAATGAATAGCAGATATGATTGCAATTACAATCACGTACCGGCGTCTCCCGCGTGCACAGTGAATTGATTTTGTTTTCCTAAGTAAGCCTTCTTGAGACCCATGCCTTTACTCGTCACTCTGCCCGCGTCGGACTTGAACAATGGCAATACCGGTCCAGTCTGCTTGCTCTTCGATATCTTCTGCACGGTCTCGACGACGATCGAGCTTGTCTCTTGCGCGCCTCTCTCCGCCAAATCCGCGCCTGGAATAGACAGTATTTATATTTTCTCCATAATGCCGTCTTCGGTTATGTAGAATAATTTATGAATTATTGCATTCTTAAAATAATGTTAGAAAATAATGTATAAATCATGTATTGCGAGTATGTTATAAAGAATGCGCACCTGTGCAAGGAACCTTGTATGGCGAGCCGACGATGTGGTAGCCGTTGTACTTGATGCTGATATAATAATCGCCCGGTACCAAGGGCGTGTACCTGACCTTGTAGCCCTCCTCGACCTCGGTACAGTCCATGGCGACCTTGCTGGGTCCGTCCACGGTGACTCCCAGCGCCCCGCTGCCCGCGTTGCAAGTGTCGATGATGAAGTCGGTCTTCTGGCCGGTCTTGATCTCCTTCAGACCGTTGCCGTAGGCGTGCAACGCCGCCGGGTCGGCGTCCACTTTGCCAACTTTGACGCGATACGGACTGCCCGATATATGCACCCCGTTGAACTTGAGGTGAATCTGATGGATGCCGTTCTCCGTCGGCATGAACCTCACCGAGTACGTGTCCGCATCGATGCTCTGGATGAAACAGTCGTCCTGGATGCCGCTCGGCGACACGATCTGAAAGCATAATTGATAAATTGATGCATAACTCGGAAAACCAGCTCTTAAAAATCTGATTAAAGTATTTAATATTATATCGCTATAAAAAAAAATATACTTCTTACAATTAGATATTAAGAAAGAAAAAGCAAAAACTGGTATAAATTTAAATGGTGGTAAATTTATATGTAGAAAGTTCTATATATAATTTCTACACACTTTGAGACGGATCATTTTACCGTGAAAATTAGATACTTTTATTGTTTCTTAGTTTTTATTTCTCTTTCTTAATATCTATAAGAAGTATATATGTTTTTAATTATAAGATACACGTTGTTCATAAATGTGCAGCGAAATCTCTTCTCGATATTGCATAATTTCAAAAACATTTGGCTACTAGTCTAAAGATTTTATAGTACTCGCGTCCAAAGACTATAATACTAATATCATACGACTCAGTGTTTCAAGTGGGATCTCGTTAAGCCGTAAAGCGCCGAGTTGAAGAAGATAAAAAAATCACCACATTCAAACGAGCGACCACCAAGGGGCGCCGTTACGAGGAGTCGCTGCCACTTTGTGTCGAAATCCTCCATGTGACTCATCCAGTTATGTGCATGTGGCGAAAAGTAAAAATACGTTCGCGGTCCCACCTACGCGGTCTGATGTGGCGGCGGCCGTTTCACAAGCGCGCGCGAGTTATTTACGGCGCTCCTCCTCTCTTTCGCAAGGAGATGTATCGCGGTGAGTTAGACTCGCGAATGTTACAGCGCCTCCCGAGTGGCTGTCCTTGTCACCAGCGGCGGACAAGGGTGGCTTTACCTTTCCGTCCAGTTCACCCTTGGCGCCGTTCTTGCGCACCAGGAAGGTGCACGGCTTGTCCGGCTGCGTTCCGCTGTCGGGAAACTGTGCGACCTCGAGCTTGTGCGCGTCGCCCATCGCCGGCGAGATGTAAACCTTGTGCGGCGAGTCAGGGATGTGCTGATCGTTGAACTTAATTCCCACCCTGTATTCGCCTGAAAGCAAGCAACGTACGACGACACGTAAATAAATGAATTTGAACAATGTAGAATTTAAACGTCGCTAGTATGGAGGCATTTTTAATAATAAACTTATGGAAGTTTATTAAAAACCGAGAAAGTCCCCAACATTTATCGAGAAAATGTTAATAACTGGTCTCACTGTAAATATGTTACGGGTTTAGGGTTTAAGACTTAGAGTTTCAAGCGGAGTATTAATACATATTTACAGAGTGTATAATATAGTAAGGAAAAACGAGTATTCAAAATATATCGTAGACTTATTTCACAATTAATATTCACGTGAATGACAACAAATATCTCATGACAGTCATATTAATTATTTCCGAACAAATCGTGACGGAAATAAATAAATCACGGAACATTTAAAGCGATCAGCTCTACGTTTCCTGTCTGACGGATCAGGAGAATAGATTCGTGAGGAGAATATCCGCCCAAGGATCGAACTAACCATCGCCTTCCTGAGACTCCTGCGGCTCGTTTCCGGTCAGGACGATCTGCGTGGTGGCTGTGAAGGTAGCCATCGATTCCCGAGTTACGTCACGGGTTTCGCCGAAAGTGAAAGTCCGACGTCAAGAAAAACGTGGTGTCTTGGCGGGCGAGACAAACGGGGGGGGGAGGAAATCCGGGGAGGGGGAGATAGTTATTAGTTGGAAGGGTTCGCGAGCGAGGGAGGGGAAACGGAAAGCGCGAGGGGAAAAAGAAAAGGAGCGAAGAGGAAGTAAAAGGGTGAAGAAGAGAGAAAGAGACGATCGCAGCTGTAGCCGAAGGTTGGTCGCGTACCACTACTTTTCCTCGGGTCGATCCTGATCTCGATTCGTCGGCGAGCTTTCTCCCTCCCCCCGCCCCCCTTCGTTCCCCGCACGCCCCCGCGTTTCTGTTTTGCTCGCGTCCCCCGTGGCCCCGTCGGTCACCCCACCGCGTCGCAATCCGCTCCCACGGGGGCCCAAATATAACCATCGCGCGCTAATCCGCGTCCAGCCGCGAGTAGCCAACTGCGGGGCCAAAATATGGATCCACCTTAACAAATATAGACGGCGATATTTTGGGAACCGAAAAAGAGAGTGCAAGAGGGGGGGGGGAGAACTGGACGATCAACAGGATGGGAGAGAGGGATAGGTAGGCATGGGTGACGATGGATCAACGAGCAGTCGAGCCGGATTCATTAACACTTTGCGGATAACCGATGTTGATCTACGTTCGCGGCTACGCCATGTAAACTCGACCGCGCGTAAATACCAGGGTGCCCCATCGTCAACGATAGGTGTTTCAATAATAAAACTACTTAAACGAATTTAAATTTGTTAAAATTTAAGTGGCGAAAGTCTGCAAAAATCTAGTGGCGGCAACACCGGATATTTAAGATTGCAGACATGGGATCTATTGCATTAGTCTGCTCTACCAAATCATTTATCTCTATTATATTTCTTTTCCATCAATTGTTATGTATTGGTCTTTTTTTTCAAGTAGAATTAAAAGTATTATACAATGATGAAACAATATTAGAATAATCGTGAGGAAAAGGATAAATAAGAGTGAAAGATATCGAGTTTCAAAAAGTTTCAGAGATCGGCAGCACTCTTACTAAAACTGTCATACGTTGACGTTTCATTTCATCCAGTAGATATTAATAATAATAATATATTCAAGTATAATTTAACTGCCGCGTGATTAAATTCGCGCGTATTAAACCCAACGGGCGTCCGCGTCACGGGTGATTTAGTTTGCGCGGATATCGTCGGCGATCCATAAAATTCGTGCGGATAATTTTGGAACGCTAAGTGAGTCACTCGGGCGACAGCAATCGATTATGTGCATGCAGCGCGCGTGCGGCGAATAATCTATCACGATACAAAGTCTAAATGGTCCATCGCTTTAACAGACTTGATTTAGTGTGCAAATCTGTAAATACTCAGGGACCGGTATTACTGTCTTCTCTCAAGGCGCAAATTGTCTTTGACAATCATCTTGCACCCAGTCAGGAATGGGGACGGCATTGGCACACGTCCATCTTTACCGATATATTGCAACGTTTTATGGATACTTCAAATGACGGATTGGATCGGTCTATGAATGTTGCAGTCTCGAATTAGCGGAACCGTGTAACTCTTCTCGCGCGTACAATGACTTGAAACATTGACTACGCTTTTCTTAGAATTTCGCGATGACCAAGATCACCGCGCATAGATGAATACGACACTCGTGGCTTACCAGGTTCACTGACGACGTAGCTGACGTAACAGCTGCCGTCCTTGCGGTCCTTGAAGTCTATCTGCGCCTTGCTGGGCCCCTCGACGGAGACGGCGAGGGTGCCCGCGCCCGCTTCCCTGGTCCAGATGTTGAACTCGCAGGGCTCGCCTTGCTCACCCCTCTCCAGACCGGGTCCGCCCGCGTGAACCCTGTGCGCGCCGCCGTCCCTCAGCGGGCCCACCGTGAACTGGAACGGCGAGCCGGGGATGTGCATGGACTTGTAACGCACGGACACCGTGTGCACGCCCAGCTCCTTGGGCACGAACGCCACCGCGTATATGCCGTCCTCGGCCTCCTTGATCTCGGCGTCCTCGGTGACGCCGCCGGGTGACGTGACGGTGGCGGCGAGATCGAAGGACGTGATGCCAGGCATCTTGAACGTCAGCTTGCACTGGCTACCGACCTCGGTGATCGGCACGGCCTCCCGCTGCCTCTGGATCTTCTCCCTCTGCCGGTTACTGCCCTCCCCGCTGACCTTGACGGTGAACGGCGAGCCCTCGACGTGGTGATCCGCGAACTTCAAATTCATGATGTAATAACCGGGCTCGGTGGGCTTGTAGGAGATGTTGAGCGTGCCGTCCTCGTTGTCCTTGCATTGAATCTCGGCCTTGCTCGGGCCCTCCATCGAGAGGGACAGGCCGCCGAAGCCGGCGTTCCGCGTGTCGATCGAGAATTTGTTCTCCACGTGGGTCTTACCCTCCTTCAGACCGGGACCGGCAACCTTGACCTTCTTCGCGTCACCGACCTCGCGATCCTTCACGTCGATCTTGAAGGGGGAGTTCGGTATGTGCTTGCCCATTCTCTTCACGCTCACGGTGTGCTCGCCCGCTTCACGCGGCGTAAACGACACGCACATGTTGCCGCTCCCCGGCATCTTCTTCAGGAAACACGGCTCCTCCAGACCGCTGGGTGCCGTGATGGCCGCATTTAGAGTCTTGATATCGGCGTCGGATACCTTACCCGGTAGCTGCACTTCGCTAGAAGAACCTACGGAGATCTGGTTCCTCTTGCGGCCTTCGCCTAGAAACGACATTCAATTTCTTCAATTATAAAAATAAAAGAATTACTTAAAATATTGAAGTAAAAATCCGAATTTTAAAGATAAATAATTATATATATTATTAACTGCTCCGGAAAATAATCCAAATGCACTTACCCGTGATTTTGGCGACGAAGGGGCTGCCTTTGATATGTTTGTCGCCAAACTTAACGGTAATTTTATATTCGCCGGGCGCGGTAGGTAGGTAGGACACCGACACCGTGCCATCCTTGTTGTCGTGACAGCTTATTTCGGCCTTGCTGGGCCCTTCGACAGCCAGCGAGAGACCACCGGCGCCGGCGCCTTTCGTCGAGATGGTGAAGTTTCCAGGTTCGCCGCAAACGCCGTAGACCAAACCTGGTCCATACGCTGTTACATATCCACTCGCCAAGGAATCGACATGGAATTTAAAGGGAGAGCCTGAAAAAATCATATATTAATATAAAATATACATGTAACATTCATTTCACATCAATCATTTGTAGAGTTTTGTTAAGCGAAGGGAAAAAAAAGTAAAGACGGCGAAGAGAATTAAAGATTATTTGTAAAAATTTATATTTATTTATATATTACTCAACGAAATTAGAATTTCTCGAATCAAGTACCGATGTATTGAGATATTATAATAAATAATATATAAAAATATGTTTTTATTTAAGAGAGCAGGTAACTGAGAAATATTATACTTAATGACGGTCGCGTGAAGTAAATTAATTTGTCGGACGGAGAGATTTATTATTAGCGCAAATTGGCGCTCGCGAGATCCATTACACGGGGAATGAAATTTCATATAGCCTCTGTGTTTCAGGATCGTACGGATCGCACGCGCATCGCGCACATTAGCACACGTTATTCTTGGATGCTCGGTGAATCTCCGTATGATCGATCGCCCCTCACGATTGCGTAATCGCTGTTAATTTGCGAGATGAATGCATTAACTTACCCTGGACGTGTTCGCCGTTGAATTTCACATAAATCTCATGGAGGCCCTCCTCCCTCGGCTCGTACTTGATGGATACCGTACCATCGTGATTGTCCTCGATAACCGGCTTGTCCACGTTTCCGCTAGGCATCTTCACTTCGGCTGAAAACGAGCAGAATGGCGTTCATCAGGCACATCCCAAGGACACCCCGCGCGACATAGTTTCCTCGAGTGCGCCGCGATTGGTTGGCACTGGCGTACAAAATTGCAGCTTTCGCACCCAAACAAGATTTTCATATCAAAAATAACTGCTTAATGCTTGTGTTTGTCATGCTCACCGTTTCATATTCAAAGATACACAGTAATACGTTCGCACATAAATAATATTCCTCGGAAATACAGAGTCATATTTCTTCCGCCTAACATGTTTTCAGTAAATTAGGCTATATTTAGTCGATATTTGTATCTTAAAACGTACAGAAACAATTTAATTGCGTATATGTTTAGAAAATTTGCAAAATCTTAAAAAAAAAGAAGGAAATAAGCTCCGAAATATTTTTTGATCAGCGATGCGGATCAGAAAATTTTGTGCCACATACGAAACATCGTGCAGATTTTTTATTAAGTATTTAATTTTTAGTAAGTATTCACAAATTTGTTGATCGTAAATCAATCTTTCAATTATCGATAATATGATTATAAAATGCAATGCATTGCAAGCCGTTCAATTGTCATTTGAAATTAGTCGAAGACGAATTGAGAGATCTCTTGAAGGCAAAACCTTTTTTCGTGTCGATATAGAAGATACTCTGGAAGACGAGCGGCGCGAAATCGAGGCCAGGTCCTGGAACTTCCTGGCTTCCCTGAGCGCTCTTGGCGTAGCAGATCGGCCCGCGTTCGGCGCGATTGAATTCGCTGAAGAACACGCTCTTCAACCAAGCTTTATAGAAGGTCGATACCTCCTGCCACGTGGCTGGTATTTCCGGTTCCTTGTCTCCCCAAATCATCTCCAACGAGTACACTTCAGAATCGTGCAAATTCCCGTCGACGTTGACGCACTTGACGAACTATCGTGATTCGATCGTGGGGTCGCACCGGTTTTATTCTGAATCGCCGCAAAAATTAATAATCGCGTTCTTTTTTTTTTTAAACGAGAGAAAAATTACATATTTTACATGTTATCAGAAAAATTAATAACGTATCTTTCAATTGTTAACGAGACAAAAAGCACAAATCAATTTTGCACGGAATGGTTTATTCTAATAAAAAAACGGTTTTACCTCTTTGATTTTGCCTCGCGGACAGATTCTACAATTTATTTTACGTAGAGAGATTCGAATGTAAAAAAAAATCTTACATCACTTCCAAATAACGATTGGGATGATTCAACGTGAGTGAAAGAATCCAGTTACGAGCGCGCGCCGTCACGTGCGAGAGGCAACACCCCGAGGATAAAGATCCCCCGTCGAATAGATCGACGTCGATAAATCTTGTCCGGTACCGAAACGTCCGCGCTAAAAAAAAATCAAGAATCCCCGAGAGATGTTCCGCGGGGGGGCAACGCGACTTAAGGAGAGCGAGTGAGCGACCGACCCACCCACCGACTGACCCACCGACCGACTGACCGAACGGTAACAACGTCTTCCGGCGTTCTCCAGCGATCTCGTTCGCGAGGTCTCCAGCCTGATGGCGCCTGTCAGTCGACCTCACGAGGGCGCATCTCCGGCACGACTGACGGTCGCACGAGCACCAAAGTCGGTCGGCGCCGAGGACGATGAGAGAGCTGGCCGGTGTCGATCTGGCGGATGATCTTTTTTCCAGCGTTAGCTACACCAGAGGCCAGTTTTGTGTTGCCTACCACGATTGCCAGTCTACCTCGTTTATCAAATATTCTCATTCCCCTCACTCTCCCTCTTCCTTTTTGCAACAATCTCTCTCTCTCTCTCTCTCTCTCTCTCTCTCTCTCTCTCTCTCTCTCACACACACACTTCGTCTTCTTTACGAAGAGATCTATCCCTCTCTATCTGCCGCGCCACACGAGGGGCACATATATACGCAGGAATATCACTGACAGTGACCAACGCACACTAACACGACCGGGGTGAACCTATGGAGGTTTACGCACGCGCTAATCCGAGGATTCCGCGGCTGGTGGGAGGAAGCGGATGGTCGACGTCGCGACGCTTGCACCTGGTGCGCGAAAATTTATGATGCAGGTATATCAATGTGTATGAAGATGTATTTTATATACATATATTACACATATACGCGTCGTGTGTATATAAATGCGTGTATATATGCGCGCGCGCGCTCCTGTGTGTATGTGTGGTAACCGCGGTTCGTCGTGTCGCGGATGGATCGGCTGCATAGCTGGTTACGTGACGGGATCAACGCTGGACGGGTCCGCTCGATCGGGGTAAATCGGGAACGCGACGACGCGACCATCATTAGGCGTGCACGCGATGACGTTATTGCCAGGCGCTCGGCATATTGCTTTTGATTGCTAAAGGAGAAGACTCGAGGTCGTCTTCGGAACGTGATACTTCTCGTGACGAGGACCAATTAGACGAATTACTATTATTATAACCCGAGACGAAATATCTTAATCTTAAAAACTATATCTCTTCTTTCTTCATGTCAATCTTTTTGAAGGACTTGATAAATACATCTTCCAATACTGTATGAGAATTATGGAAAAGTTTTTTTTAACACGTTATTACAAATAAAAATTAATAATTACACTTTATATTTCGTTTTAATAATGTAATAAGATGTTATTTTTGACTTCAAGTAGTAAAGAGAGCAGGAGAGAAGTCGTATAATAAAATATTTTTCTCAAAGCATTTTAAAAATAATCCTGCATATCTCTGATTCTTTTCCATTCCTTCGCGCTCATCTTTACGGGGGGTTACGTAAATTGTTATCACGTGGAAGGAATCCCGGAATTCTCAAGATAGACAAGACGGAGAATTTTGGCCGCGTAACATCCTGGCCACGCTTCCGTGATCGCCGTTTCATTTACCAAAGGAAGTCGTCAAGCAAGCGAGCCGGCTCGCGCATTTAACACGCGCCACAGCCGTTATGATGAAGAGGAACGGGTGTCGGCCGGGTCTGACTAATTGCGGACAAGCGTGATGCGTTGCACGTCCACCGTGCGACATTATTCGCGCATGCATCGGCGCGTGTCAAAAGATCAAGGTATCAGCGTAATCCGCCGGAAAATCAACGACCTGATTCAAAGTGATCTCTCATGCGAATCCGACTTTCATCCCTATAGACGCCGTATTCCTCGACTCTTGGTGCGTTAACGGCGCGAAATAAAAGTACACGTTACTTAGCGAGAGGAAAATATTTGCTGGAGGCGGAAGGGCATTTGCACAAGACAGCAGCGGGCTTCCAGCAACAAGATATTGATCTCTTGGCAAGGTGTAAACCACCGTCCGGAATCGAATCGCGCGGGTTCGTCGACCGGGAATTCGCTCCAGTTGATGTTTGCATGCCGCGACGAGAGAGGAATCCCGGAGGATGGAGAAACGGTCCACGTGGAAGGGATCGGGTCTTTTTCTGGACCCGCTACATCGTCCTCGGGCCGCGCGGAATCTCGAGGCTCTCTCGGCTCTTGGACCAGCCGCGGGTACGCGCATCCGGAGCCACTTAATCACCCAATATTAATATCGCGGACAGTGCGTCGCGCTTATCCGACATACATACATACATACCGTCCTTCCACGCGCAGCGCCGGCCTGTCCAGCTCGCCATATTTTTGGCAAGGTGGTGGATAAAGCGCGAATACGAATCCGTCGTGTCTGTCATTTGACGCTCTCTGAGCGCGCGGCGGTTTGCTCAGCCGCGAAACATTGCATGTTATTGAATCGCATTATTCGTCGCCGCTCGTTTATTTATTGAAGTAAGCTGAACAGAGAACTCCTTCACTTGTGCTTTTATAACGTTGCTCAGAAGCTTACCGTTGATCTGTCTATTCTCTTGGCGCTTAGCTATACTATTTACGTCAAGAAGCACAGCTACAGAATAATAGTAATTTTTTTAAATTAATTAAACAAGAGAACAATTATTTAATTATATATCATTAGTTGTTACTATTAATTGTTTCAGCGATTAAAGTTCGATTAATAGTTAATATTTTTTTCGAATTAATCTTACTGTTCCATCATGTGTCTAACAGTAATAATTAGCTCATTATACCGAAGGTATAATTCAATCTCGAAACGTTACGCGGGACTGCATTGTCGGTCATTAATCAATTCAACTCGTCAAGTCATCAAATACACGTGGGTACGAGTAGTCAAATACGGCATCGGCGCGCACGCGCGTGATTAATGACGATATATCCTTCGCCGTGATGTTAAGTAGGCGGTTTAAGAATGACGTGTGCGTTAATCGTTGAAGAAAATGGGGGGGGGGAGGAGAGAGAGGAAGTTTTGTCCGCACGAAAATTTAAGAGCGCGTAAAACGCGCCGAGTCCGAGTCTTACGCGAGGCGGAAGAATTCGTATCGTAAAATCCGCGGCGGAGCAAAGCAGCACACGTTGCGCAGTAAAATCCGTGATTTATTTCCGCGCAGCGAATAGGTTCCAGCCAACGGGTGCGTTCGACTATTGCTAGTTAAACTAATAATAGAAAATAGACTAAATAAACTAACTGCTGTGAAAATATTATGTCGATATTATTTACAGTTCGATCAGCATCGAGAACAAGTTTGTTGCTCTATGTGCGGTCATACGGTTAAAAGGGTATATTTAAAATAATTAAATTGGCAACGTTGAGTTACTAAAAAAAAAAAGATACTCATTTTTGAGAGATTAATAAAAATTAAATTTTTTCAATTAATTAAAAATCTTGTCACAATGAGTCCTCTTCTCTTTGTGCGATTAAAAATTTTGACTAAAAGCACAAAAGGAAATATCGAAAAGAATACACGATCTGTTGTTTCAGTAAATAATATTGCGTCGTTCGAAGTAGTGTGAGCTAATAATAAGCCAGACAGTCCTGCGAATTCTGTCCGATCGTTATCTGTTTATCGATCACTTTGATTCAATAGCTGTTATCGCTTATTAATAACTAGTTTTAACTAATAAGGTTTAATTAATTTTAAAAAGTTTACTGTTACTCCGTAGCCGTAGCTTCTTAAATAATAAATTCACGATCTTTAAGCGCAGTAATATATGAGACAATGTTAAATCATACAGCGTGTTTCATTATTCTTCTCTATTGTGCACTGAATTTTGAAAGAATCTCTCCTTTCATGAATGAAAAAACATTACTAATACTTCGCACTCTTCTATCAAGTAGAAAGAGATTAAGTTACTGATGAATTACTGTAACTTTTATATTTCCCGGTATCCAACCAACCGTAGCACGCACTCTTAAAACTTACATCATGCAGTAACTATTCTGCTACATAAAAGCCTTTTGTGCAAATTTCGAGGTAAATGGCATGAAGCCAAATTTGAAGAATGAACAAAAATTTTAAGAATTCAAGAAATATATACGAGCGAAAGATGTCACTTACAAGTAACTGTGCCACCGCTCGCGATAGGTAGTGGGATGGAGTTCAATCGGATAACGTTGAAATTCTTTTTCGATAGCTCCTGCTGGCTGCTGCGCTTTGTGGTAACAGTTGAGCTCTCCTGTAGGGTTGTACTGCGCTGCTCGACTACGTGTTGATTCTGCCGCTGCCGTGTTTTGCGAGCCCGTTGAGTTTTCTGCGTGCTATGTTCCCGATACTCCTCGGATGCCTGGAATGTCGGTGAAATTGAGAAAACAAGTTAGCAATATTGACATCTAGATATTTTTTTGCAGTCCAAACATTTTAGACTACAAATAATTATAGATCTTTTATAGGACAATTTTATAATTGGCATTAAATGTACTCTTCAAGTACGTGATTGATTGCGTTTCAGTAAAATACATTAGATTGAAAATCGTTTTTCTTTTATTTCTTTTTATAAAAATGCAGACTCAGGAATTGTTAATAAAAATGTGACTCGGTTACGGCGCGAAGGCGTGTCTCTGGCGACAATGAATCGCGATATCGCATGATCGATAAAATATTTTGGTGCTGGAAGAACGCCAAGCATTAGAAGCAGCATTTTTTGTTTTCTTTTTTTACGGAGTGCTAATAAAATTCTTGCGAAATCTTCGCAGGAAGGTGGAGCGTAGGAATTTTCGAAATCGGGAGATGTGTGCGGTGGACGTTACATCTCATTACGATAGAATCTACGTATTTCGATGCTGGTCGCAAGCCAAAGTGGCGATACGTGTAAAGAATTTATTATGTAATCACGTTTAAATTATTGCAAAATTCGCATCATCACGGGAAGGCCTGCATCCATAATGAATTCACATTAATCCGTGATTGCGCTGCAGTTATGTAGTGAACATGTGCTGTAAGCTCTCTCTCATAAATTATATTTAAGACCGAAGGATAGTTTATAACGATAACATTTACATTAGATGGCTTTAATTATAAAATAAAGCAATGCTTAAATACGAAAATAGCTTTACAAAAAAGTTCTTACAGAAATTGTATATTTGCTTAGCTGTAAATGCATGCTGTTGGGTGAACAACTTACATTACGTGATGAAAACTATATTAATCATTTGATTTATCAAATTAGAAAAGAGAATTAAAAAAAAATTGTTTCTTAAAAGTACGTTATAATAACGTTGTATTATACATATAATAATAACATATAAACATGATATATACAATATTGAAGCTGTTTAACATCTTGTCGCATTATTTTGTAGAAACAAATTTTATTCTTTTCAGTTGAAGATATGAGCAAAAGCCCATTCAAGAGAATCGAATTCCATAAAATGATGCTGTCAATTAAGAAGTATGAAATATTACACGAAGCCTGTTGATCATCGAGACGCAATATTGCAGCTGAAACCAAAATTAGCTTTCGGGGAGATACTGAACGCGCTACATAAATAGTCGCTTTCATGGTGCAAAATGCGACACGATGATATCAAAGCAATGTTACTATAAAATATTTTTCTAATTCTTTTTCTAATTCTAACAAAATAGAGAAAATAGAGATTAGATAATCTATTTTTAACATTTATTTAAAAAATACTTTTGTTTAAAAATTTAATTTATATATGTTTCTCTATATAAATTATACATAAAGATGGGAGATTATTAATTTCATATAATAAGATTTCTCTTTGTACATGGAAACTAAAATGAATTTTTTAAATAGAGATCCCATAATAAAAGGATTTTAATATTCTATTAAAAAACTATTTACATCATTATCTTGGATCAGTTAATATATACTAATATATAACGTTTCGCTATTTCTCTTTCTTTATTTTTTTAAAAGATTACAAGGATGAAGATAAATTAAAGCATTTTTTAATTCATTCCATGCTGTGTATACGATAAATTGCAAAGAAAATTAAGTAATTCGTAAAAAATGTTATTCTGTCAATTATTTCGCTCAAAACTGTGCCATTTCTTATGCTATCGATAATTTGTCGCAATCACTCGTGTCACTCACTCAGTCCGCAAACGATCGCGATCGTCACAAGATCGGCGCCATACTCTAAGCCTCCCGGACGTCCGCGGGCCCTTCCTCTCTCTCTACGAGAGGGTTGATTGACCGGGGGTTGCGAATTCGCGTACCTGACAACCAGCTATCACGCTTTAAGCTTCACCGATTTACAAGGGAACGCCCAGCTACGTCGGTGGCCGACACGAAACTCGCGGCTCTCTGGTATCCAACCGGTAATTCCGGGCACAATGCTAAATTTCATGTACCATAATAGATACCCAGCCCCCACTCGTACACATTACAAAAGAATTGAGAGTACAAAGCACAATATGGATGCCATTGCGCGACAGTAATCTATAAGTGACAATTTGTGAGCCGTTGAAGGCACCACCGATAATATCGACCTTTTAATCGTCCACGCGTGAGACATTATATTCCTAGATTTACCCAAAATAGGAAATTTACCTCTCAATAGAATAATGAATTTTAAATAATATAATTTGATATAATAAAAAAATATATACAGCAAACAGAATGTTTTCCTAACTTTAAAATAGTCTGCATTACGCAGTCACCATGCAATACTTTGAAGATAATCCGCAATATTGTAAATACATATATCATACAAAATCGCGAAATCTCAGATTCGCGATCGCTGTGTACATCCAGATATCTAACAGTAAATTTGGATAAATCCCAAATATAATGTCACGTTTTTGTTTACGACCAGTTCAGCTATATTAAACTGACATTAAAGTAAGAGATTCACGGTTTTCTTAATCCCCTACGAGGCGTCTGCAATTATTTATATAGCTCTGATATGAACACTTGGATGCATATCATTTTTTATTAGTTGTGACATACATATTATAAATAGCAATATAAATATATTATTATTATTATTGCTAATGTTAATTGATCATGACTATTCAATATACGTATAAGAGGATTTCTTGATTATCGTACTATCGATTCTTTTTGTGAGAATCATAATTCTTTTAATAAAATAAATAATTTTGTCATTATAAAAAATAAGTCATCAACGAGCTTTATTTATCATTAAAAAATGCAAAAATTTTGAGACAATTATTTCAAAAATCTGTTTAACATCAATTCTGCAGCGACAAAGCGAGAAAATAATGGTAAATATCGGCGTCGGCCGCCGAGAGGAATGTGTCGCACAAAGTCACCGTTGTGAATCGTGGCACGGGGTTTAATTTAACTCACGGTATTAATTCACTCCCTCGTCTCCCTCGGCCACCCACTCCGTTCCTGCTTATAAATTTGGGGAAGCTTGACTCGCACTCGAAATAGTTTAAGAGCTCTCGGTGGAGGATGGACGGCATCGAGATGCGTATTGGATTTCAAAATGGATCGTAGCCTTAATATTGAGAATCTGATTGATGTACCAAGAATATAGATGTCTTACCAGATGTTATCTTATTAGACAATAGATCGATCGCCAAGCACAAGTTGTACACTTCGGGAATATTATTTATGCGCGGCAGTCGCGAAGAGTTATGACGCGTGACGCGGCCTGTCACTGTAATACTGTGCAATACAAATTTCTCTTGACGTAGAATAATATTGTCTTAAGCTACTTACATCCATCATAAATTGTAAAATGATAAAATTTATTTTACATTTACTTAATTTTAAAATACTTGTTGCAGTATTATTTTTTATTTCCAAATGCGTGCGTAATAGAACGCACGCGAAAAGACAGATAAATGAAATATTACGTCTATGTAAGAGAGAAGCATAAATTTATACTATTGAAATTATCAAATAATAAAACGTGTGTAATGATTAGCAAATAAATTTTTTCACTTTTGATTTCTCAAACTACTGATTCGAACGTAGTCTGCTACATTTGTGACGAAGATGTAGAATCGAAAATAGCACAAATACTTTAATTGAATTCATGCACCAAGAAAAGAAAACTGCACATCTCGAAACACACATACAATGATATTTCTCAAGTTTGAAGTTTAATGAGTTAATTGAACAGGTGTCACGAGACGTCATGGCGGCCGCACGAATATGCAAGCATTTATATCACCAGTTTACACCGCGTTCCACAACTCATCGCGCGTCTCTTCGCGTCGAGATAATCAGATTTTGAAGTAAAGCGAACAGATGACAAGTCAAATCTGATAAAGATAAAGATGGAAAAATATAAATTTTCTAAAATATAAGAAATAATACAGAAAAAACATTTTTCAATCAATTTACCTGAAAAGAGAAATGTCTGATCATATTAATTTTTCCCTACTAATAGTCAATGAAGAAAATTATCCGATTCAAGTAGATAGACAGATAATGCTTGACCATAAATGTATATTTGTATTAATACACGCTAAAAATATATAATAAGATTTATAAAATAATGTTTAATTATTTACTTCGGATTAATCATAAATGGAAAAGATTGAATTAAATGAGACAATGCAGAATAATATATTTCTGCTCGTATTATATATTAATTTAACTCATTCTAGACTACGATATTGATATCTCGAGAGGAAAGGGAAAGTTTCTGATGTTTACAGAGTTTAGATCAGATAGTTTTTGGTCAGCCAAACATCATGATGTGGATTAATAAAAGTTCTTCTCCGCGGGGCTCTCCACTTTTAGCAGGTTAATGGCGTTCCAGCATTTGCGATCGGAGGCACTCTGGACCACTTGATGACGGCAGCACTCACACGCGTGCGCAAAGATACACATGCACACAAAAATACACACAGTAGCTCTGTGCCGTGTAAGGTTGGGGTAGGGATGTGCAGAGACAGAGAAGATATAGCGAAGAGATAAAGATGTATGCGTGTGTGCGTGTATGTGTTACTTGGAACGGAATTCGTGTTACAGCGCGACGGGGTCCATGTGATGATGATGGGCGAGGGATGGATTCGTGCGATAACGAGCCGGCGGATGCGGTCCCGATGAGCCTTCGCAGTGGACTGTTCCGCTGGAGACTACGCGACAATATCCTGCACTACGTGTTGCCTCTATAGTTAGATACACCTCGCGCCCCACCCACCCGGGGCTCGTCGTCGACCGGAGCACCGGGCATCCGGATCGGCATCGGGAAGTCGATTGCGAGGAGGCTCTACGCATCGTCGCCCCTTGTCTCGCGACCTTTCGAAGGGTGCCGATACTCGCAAGAAGTAATATTCGCAAACGAAGTTTATGAAGTTCGAGATGAAGTTGCAGAACGCGACGCTTGTTCCGTGGCAACAGATCTCGCGTTAAAAACGATTAATTTATCCTAAATATCAGAATGTTTTTTTACATTAAATATTTAACTGGAAAATTTCAAACTCGTATGTTGCTGTCAGATACGTTGTTCTTTACAGAATAAGGAAAGAATTTTGGCGGCATCGAATGATACCAAGATGCGATGATTTCATTAGCGTGCGCGCTTCACGGTCCAATTCCACGTAATTATTTTGCATTTCGCTGGACGGACCCGGCACATTTTGCGATATATAAATACGTGAAGAAACTCAAGAATTGCTTTAGTAAATACAATTTAAAACAGCAATTAACTTAATGAAATAAATTAACAAAAATTTTAAATTTTTTAGAAACTTTCAGAAAATTTTCAAGAAAGTTTAAGAAAATTATTTTAATAATAGATATTTTAATATCAATTTTTTTATATTTTTTTATTATTTATTATAAAATATATCTACAACGCTGCGTAAAAAATTTCATGTAAATTTCGATCATTTCGGTTTGTATAAACGGATGTAAAAAAATAATATCGACTTCACGAGATAGAGTGTAAAATGTTAAAATATTGCAATTACTCACAGTGAAGGTATAAAATCCCTCAGGCACCGGTTGACCGCCAAACTTAATGCTGAGGGTGTAGTCCCCCGCATCGGCAACAGTATAGTAAATGTTAACTGTGCCATCGCCGTTGTCTTCTATGTCAATGTCAACGACTTCGCTGAAATCACAAACCGAGACGTATTATTCAGAGATTAAAATATAGAACGCACGTCCATTCAAGAAATTTTATATGTATACCTTTGTGACGCCGCGCTACAACTTCATTGAGCAATAAATCATACATGCGAATACTTTGAATGTTTCACGCGACTCAATTCTTAATTATTTAGATACTTCAATCTAAAGTAGAAAACTTAAAAAAAATTTGGAGATCCTTTCTTTTTTTTTACATAATAAAACCAAATTAGACATCTGTGTATACATTGTTTCTAACAATGAAATGAGGTTTAGTTATCATAATAATATAAAAAATATTTGAAAATTCTACTGAGAAAAGTTAATTTGCGTACATCTAGATTGCAATAATAATATATCTGAATACTGAATAATAATATATCTGAATATTTTCTTTTTTTATAAGAAAATCTTAATTTTTATTATAAAAATTAACATTCGTAGAATGTACAAAATCGGATGATCCGACAATTTTCCAATAATTTCTTTTATTTTCGCATGTTGTATTAAACTATAAATCATTATTTGTTATAGGGCACAGACAGTCATATGAAATGTAATTAGAAAATAAATTATGTTTATTATAGGAAATACCAGACGTAACGTGGCATCTTGTCATCTAGTACACTTGCGATAAAGAATTTGGCCCGTTCTAAAGTGTCTTTTCGACAGAAGACACGCACTGCCAACTTGAAAAACACGGGATATCATAGATGAATAATGAGGTAACAGCTGTGTACACCACTGTCAACGTTCAGAATGCATTTATAGTCGATTTGATTAGGATTGTGACAATCTTTTGGAGGGCATGCGTCCGATTGCACGCGATATGTAGAATAGGAAGTACACGTGCTTTCTAGAAATCCCGAAATATTCGCGAAGGACATAATCGCATGGATGACGTACTGCATCTATCCCGATGTTGAAACAAGTACACGGAAAGAACAATTTTGCCGAATCCAGATCTGAAAATAATTTTTGTTCAATAATCAAAATAATTTTGTGCGAAAATCAAAGTGATTGCTAGAATATCAAAATGTTTTATAGCAATGCTTATCAGTTTTACCATTTCAACAAATTATTTTGATGATTCAACAAAAAATTATTTTCAGATCTGTTTTTAGCAAAATTTTTAGATCTTTCAACAAAATTAATCTTTCCGTATAAGCTTGATTACAAGAAATCTGAGAAATAATCGGAGATAGTAAATAATTATTTCAAATTATGAAATTTATCAATTAATTTTATCGCAGTGACATAAGTAAAATTATCTTAAACTTCGTCAATTTGATAGATATTTTTTTCTAATATTTATTTTCATATATAGAGTATGAATAATATCTTGCAATTTTTTCCCGTTATGTTAGAAGATTTTCAGCAATGTAGTGTGTCGAATAATACCGCGGGTTAAATTTAATTCGAATGTCACTGTGAAACAAACGATTGAACAAATGCCCGACACAAATGACAAACAATTTGACGAAATTCGCCAGTGTGTGCTCTTTTTCAAAGAAACTACGTAATGATCTATAGTCTGGCATCAGCTACGAGACAATTAGAAGAGTACGTGCAACATTATGTAATATATTAATCTGGCGCTTAATTTAATTGCCAACGAGTAGCGTGATATAAGCCAGCCTCCGAAAAACGGATGTTGCACAAAAAGAATCTTTTCTATAACTATATATATTGTTATGAAATCAATCTCCGTGCTTCCCAAATAATCATTCCCCTTGGCGTCCGTCCGCCGTCGACGCCAAGTTTTATTAAAAGTATATTTCGCTTTCGGATTAAACCAAACCGACATTTAATTTCAATGTTACGATACGGTAATCGACACAGATACTGCGTAAACGGCTGGCCCGGAGATTCACTTATTACCACCTCGTACATGACGTTTCACCATGGCAACGTGCCATGATCCTGATTTCTATCGGATTTGTTACACGATTTACGGCCGACTAATCATTAACGCCTTTACACACCAGATCTAATCCCAATATACGATTTTGAATCGAAATGTAATACACGTCATATCGTTTATGCGTCTTGTTTGTTTTTCTAAATCGTTTAAGTCAGTATTATTCGCTAATTTATAACAATCCTTACCGTCTTGTTTACAAACGATAAATCAAGAAGTGCGAACACACTGATTATTTAGAATAGTTAATTCATGATAATTAGAGTTTGTAAGATATGCAATAAAAAAATATAATAATATAATTGTACGTGTGTAAGAAACAATGTAATATGATATCATGAAAGAATGTAATAACATAATTTATTATTTGTTCAACATTTATACGATAAGAAAATAGCAGTAAGAGATTTTTCTCGATTTCGCCTATAAATTAAAAATAAATAAGTCGCGCCGTCGCGACGTTTCCATCTTATTTTAAATAAGATGGAATTTTTGTCTGGAATTTCACGTGAAGATTGAAAAGTGTAAATGCGAGAAACGTGATAAAAATATAAACCGCCCTCACGTATATATTCGTAACACAAGATTAGTCCAGATGTAACGTGTGAAGACTGAAGAATATTGTTATTGAGATCTATGAAGATTTTGCGAAGACTAATATATTAAATATAGAAGATACGTAGAATCGAAGTTTATTAGTTAATATTTCTTGCAGAAAGTAATAAATAAAGACAGTGAATACGTTAAAAATAACGTAGACGAGTTAGAATTAAAGTCAAAATATTTCTGATTAAGATGTAATATTGCACAATATATAATATTTTTTTAAAAAAAGATATTTTTAAAAAATATATCTTAATTACAAATGGCAAAAAATCTTAAGTGTTTTATAATATACACAATGACAAATTAAATTTCAGATTTTGAAAGAAGAATGAAGAGGAAACGTTTCGGTAACTGCGAGAGTGAATTTTAAAGGTGCCCGCAACGTGTCTCCTCTCATAACTGATTCATCTCCTCCGAAATAGTCGGATTTAAATTGGGGCGGATCACGCGGGTGCTCACCTTCCGGAAGTGGAGCGGATGCGGCAGGTCACTGCACCGCGGCCTGCATTTTGAGTGTCCACGGTGATGCAGTACTCCTCGCCCTGAGCCAAAGTGTGCTGAATGCCCTCTTTGATTTTACACTGGTCCGCCTTGCCGGTGGATACGCTCTGCACGTTCACCGGGCTGCCTGGCACTTCTTTGCCGCCGTATTTTACGTTGACCTTGTAGCGGCCGCAGTCGTCCGGCAGATAGGTCGCCTTGTACTTTCCGTCGTCGAGATCCTGCACTTCCACCCTGCGCGGCACTTGGTCTGGTCCCTGAAAGGGATTTAAATAGGCATCAATGTGATGATGAGCTGCACGATTGTTCGTACGACTTAATTCGATTATTCGCGGCTCACTTGACAGTTGATTGGTTCTTCTAACAACAAACTGACAATCAAATTGAGTGCGTGTGATGATAAATACGACTGTTACGGTTGGCAAAAGCGAAAGTTCCGATTGGTGTACGACCGGTATCGGGAAGCAATTTGGAAAATTTGTCGAGGTACGAAAATATGATAGATCAACTTATCGGTAATACTGAAAACATTCTGTATCATGTTTTTATATATTAAATTTGGCGAGTGCGTCGAAGTCTTGTGTATCGTGCTTAAAGTTTTGAAATAACCTTAATAATTTATAAGAATTAATAATGTAAATTGTGAAGCGATGAAAATTATAATAGTGTAAAAAATACATTATAAAGACATTTTTTTTATTAAAATTCTTATACATATATACAGAAATTATTTTCTGAATTCTTATATATTTCTTTATACTTATATATTACTTTATTGCAATTAGATATAAAGTTGAGTCTTGTATCATTTCTATATCTTTTGCTTATTTTATACATAATTAAAAATTAATAAATATTTATTTTTGTGTTAGATTATGTGCAATATATTATATTTGATTTATTATCTTTATATTACTTTAAATATTAATAATTATTAAACTTTGTTTTACATAAAAGACATGAAATCAATTTAAATTGCTATCATTTAATACATGCAATATATTTTTCACAAATGTACAATAATATAAATTTATTATAAAATAAAAATATGCCGAATCGCTTTTGCTGTATCGCAGATATTGCGCGCGAATATAAATCAGTAAAATATATTTTTTCAAGATTTTGCTATAATTAAAAATCAAAATAATTGAATTTCTAAAAAAATGAATTCTAAAAAGATGATTGCTACTCTATGTGGGAGGTACTCAACGTCCATTCCTTCGACAGTGAGATACCATTTAGTAAGAATTGAAGAATTCACGTCGGATAATTGCTTTCTTACGATATAGTTCATCTTCACCAGCTTCCATAATCTTTAAGTAGACTTAAATTATTAAAAAAAAATTCATTTATAAAAAAAGAATGTTATACAGTTCGTAATTTAATTATGTCTTATTGTTAATATCGTAGCAATATTCACGAAAATCTGTTATACTTGCGTGTCAATTATATGTTATTTTTAACAATAATAAGTTTATGGCTATTTCTCAAAAAATATTTAGCCCCCGATTTTTGTCCCCCAATCGAATATGCAAATGTGGGGATGTCACGCGATATACAAATCCGAAACACTTCGCGAAGCACTACTCACCACAACTTGCACTTCGAGATCGCCGTATCCAGCGTTGGAAGTGTCCACGACGAAGTCAGTCGGGAAGGAGGCAGTGCAAACGGGCGACACCCCGGGACCCGACAGTGTCACCTTACTGGGCTCCACGGTGGGCAGAACTTTCACTTTGAACGGACTGCCGTTGATGTCCTCGCCGTCGTAAGTAACGCCGACGTTCAGGTTACTTCCAGCGGGCGGCGGCTGATACGTCACCTCGTACAGGCCGTCACCCTTGCTCTTGATCTGCGGCTTCTGCGCCTGTCCCTTGTCGGTCGACAGCCTCACGTCCAGCTGCGCCGCTTTGGCGCACTTGGACGTGTCCACCGTGAACTTGGCGGGGACGCCCTCGCGCACCATCTCGGGCTGCAGGCCGGGTCCGTAAGCGATCACGTTCTTCGCCTCCGAGTCCGACACCACCTCGATCTTGAACGGCGAGCCGGGTATGTTCTGCTCGGCGAACTTGATGCCGATCTCGTAGTCGCCGGGTTCCGTGGGAACGTACTCGACGGTGCAGGAACCGTCGTAATTGTCCTTGGCCTCCGCCTTGACCTCCCCGTCGCCTGTGATCGACAGACCCAAGCCGCCATTGCCGGCCTCTGAAAGAAAGCATATACGCATACGTGTTATTTCCTTCGCACTTTCGCTACGTGAAAATATTTTCCATCTTCTGTGTGACAATTTGTTGCAAATTATACAATTTTTAAATAGTATAAAATTAAGAATTTGTACGAGATGTTGGCTTTGCATACCTCTGGTCTCCACCGTGAAGCGGTTCGTCTTGTTCACGATGCCCTTCTCCAGACCAGGACCGTACGCGCGGCACTTGCTGGGATCGGAGCCGCGTTGCACGTTCACGGAGAACGGCGATCCCGGGATAGGCACGTTGTCGTAGAGTATGTCGATGGTGTGGCAGCCCTCCTCGAAGGGCGTGTAGCTGACGCGGTAGGTGCCGTCACCCTGGGGGATGATTAGCTTCTCGGTCTTCCCGCCGCTGGGGTTATTTATGGTGCAGGACACCTTACCGTCGTCGGTCTTCGACTTGGTGACGTCTCTCGTGTCTATCGTGAACGTTGTTTGCTTGTTCACGAATAAACCTGCAAAATGCGATATAGCACGACATGATTGAGTGAAAACGCTCGAATGTTTTTTTTTTTAATAAATGCACATATCTAATACATACATCAGCTTTCTTGAAATTAAATTTTTATCATTCTTATATATATACTTGTTTCATGCGTGCAAATTTGAGATTGATTCTTGCTAAGCTAACTTGTAGTTAATGCATTTTTATAACAGAAATACTTATGCATTTCCGTAAAATCGAATGTTGGAACAGTGAAGTATGTATATATAGTCCTGCATTTTTTAATTTGCAATTTATTTTCTTACAGGGTTGAAATTTGACATAAAATAATAAAATAGTATACATGTTTAATAAAAATTTACCAAAACACCTTTATATTATTGCTACATCGCAATTTTGTATTAAATAATCTTTTATGTTTTTACAATAAATGCACATAAATTATATTCCTAATATATCGCTTGTAACTTAAACGTTTACTAGTTTTAAACAATACGTAATACCTAATTTAGCAAAATTATTAAACTGTTAAAATGGCAATATATAGCGAATATTGCACAAAATAATAATATGAAACGTAATTGCAATCTCTGCATGATTAACACAGGAAAAAAAACACAATAACATTTATTAGATTATTATTTGTGATATTAGATTTCAATCATCAGGCAAACTGAAAATGAGGTCATGCTCGTAGAGAGAGATGAACTTAAAAATTGTTGCTTCGTACATATTTTTTACAAACATGTCCTCAAGTATTCTTCAAGCATTCAAGTGCCTTACAACAAGTGTATGCGTTAAAAAATAGTTACGATCAGAAAGTCTGAAACAGGGATATGCCATGATAACCAATCGAAAAAGGTGCAATCGTAACATACGCATGCATCGCTATAACATTAACGCGTCTCAGAATAATCATCGGGACTTTCTAATCTTTTTTTCTATCGACAAGAATATTTTCCTCGGCACAACGAATCTTCCTTAAAGTGTCACAACATTCATGCAACTTGCCAAACTATTGTGGATCGACCCGAAAAAAATTCATTCCACATGCATATAAATATCTAACACATACGTTGTTCCTCGAAGGTCAAAACGAAACGAAACGCGAGACGTTTAAACCATTCCTATACAAAATCCCGAGACGCGTTACGAAACTCATCGCGCAAATCAGAGACGAGCACAACGCAAGTCACAGAGCACTCTCTCAATTTCCAATTGCAAAAAAAAAAAAACGATCTCCGTGCTGACGTCCTTTAACGGTACCGTGTGGCTGGATGCCGTTCCCGCTGACTTTGATCTTGGAGAGGTCCGCGTCCGGCACGACGATGGCCTGGAAGGGCGAGCCCGGCACGTGTTGCTCGTTGAAGGTGATGTTGATGCCGTAGTCGCCGGCCTCGGTGGGCAGGTAGGCGACCGAGCAGGTGCCGTCGCCGTTGTCCCTGCAATTTATCGCGGCCTCGCAGGGACCCTCGACGGTCACGCCGAGGCCGCCCTGGCCGGCCCCGCGCGTGTCGATCACGAACTCGGCCGGCTTGTTCACCACGCCGTGGGAGAGACCGGGCCCGGTGGCGCGCACCTTGCCCGGGTCGGAGCCGTGGACGCAGGTGAGCCGGTACGGCTGATTCGAGAGCGGCTCGCCGCCGAAGCTGATCCCCAGCAGATACTCGCCTAGCTCGGTCGGGGTAAAGTTGACCAGGTAGCCCTCGTGGGACGGCACCACGTGCGCCTTGACGCGGTTGCCGGACGGGGCCGTGATCGCCACCTGGAAGTCCGCCGCCCTGCCCGCCTCCTGCGTTATCACGCGGAACTGCTGCAGGCTGTTCACCGGGGCCGCTGCGAGGACGTTTGCGGGTTCTCGTGGTGAGCCGCGATGCGTCTTTCGCTTGTGCTTTTGCGCTGACACGGGACGACGGCCCGCGAGCGGCGAACGGACGTCGCGCCGGCTCTCGCTGGTGAAATCGCGACGGTGATCGGTCGACGATCGATTGGGATTGAATGAGATAGGAACGTAACTGGCTCGTTCGATCGAGAGATTAATTTGTAATATGCAATTTACGGTCGACGCTCACCAGCAAGTATACGGCCGGACGTTCGTCGCGCAAAGTTACCGTAACGGGTTAGATCTCAAATACTGGATATGCATCGAGTTGTGAGAGAAAGCCATTTGCTACATACATATATAAGCCCACAATGCGCGTGTAAATTAGGCAGAGCGTATTCCAAATAAGAGGATCTCCCGGCGGTTACGGAACACTGCGGTAATGTGTCTTAGCTAAAAGTGCATTCAGTTACAACGAATATATTATTCAGCGTGCAGGAGTAATTATTTATTATTCTAGCGATATATATTGATTTCTTCAACGCATTGCTATTCTAGCTCTTCGAATTTTATTTTCGTGACGCATTCGGCGTAATGGAGCCGCGCTGCCTTCCTTCGCAGTGCTCCAGGTAGAGTTACGTGGAAGGCACGATACGCGTGGAGCACCGAAGTGCAATATTTTTAGACGAAACGCGAAATTGTGTACGTGTGTATATGTGTCAACTGTGAGGAACGCGAGCGCCGTTATAAATAAATCATCGGTTCGCGCTCCAGCAAAACATCTCTCCGCGGGGAGACCTTGGCAACGTGTATTTCGAAAATCTAGGCTAGATGCACGCATCTAGCATGGCAGCACCCCGGAAAAGATCTTCGAAAAAAATATCGGCCGTATGCTACGAGACGAGAATTATCTTCTCAATAACCGCTGGAAGCAGCGCGATTTTTGGCACAATTTATTTCCGAGCTAATGCACCTACCACAGCCAGTGCACCTACCTAAGTGCAAGATCTTATATTTCATTGGCAGTCATGTAATTGTTAATCCTCTCTTGACCGCGAAGTTTAACGAGTTATCAAATTAATAAATAATAAAAAAAAAATAATAAAATTTCTATTGTGGGATTATTTCACTCAAACCAACAGATGCAAAATATAGACGATAGATATAAATGTCTTTGATTGCTTCTTGTTAATCTATCTAATTTATAAATTCAGTCTATTGTAGTAATTTAAAATAAATAAAGTAATATATATTTTACTTATATTATAAAAATTATAATAATAATAAAAGTCTATTAATCGATTAAACACGCTATCAAGTTTACCGTCATTTCAAACGACGCGACGTTACGCGTTAAAAAGTATTGAATTATCCCAATTTTGCGGGATACAGAATGCTGCGTACAATATCTTGATTCGAGCATATCTGCGATGAGTGACACATTCATCAAATATTTAATCTGATTTTAAGTAAACCGATAGCGTATACGATAATCGAAATATTAGGCAACACTCAATGAATCTTCGATAATTGTACTCACTTGGTTCCAGACCGTCCACTTTAACCTTGGACACGTCCACGTGAGGCTGAACGTTGACCTTAATGGGGCACTGGGGTACCTTCAGACCGCCATAGTTGAGATTCACCGTATAGTTTCCTGGCTGAGGGGGCATGTAGTCCACGACGTACGTGCCATCCTCGTTATTCGTTGTCGAAATTGGAAGTTCCCGGCCTTCGGGGTTCAGCAGCTTAACGTCCAATTTGCCGGGGCCAGCCTCGCGACAGTCGACATTGAAATGCGTGGGGACGTTTGACTTCACACCTTTCTCAAGACCGGGGCCGAAGGCGGAGACCATGGCAGGATTCAAAGGCGAAGCTATCTTAACTCGGTACGGGGATTTCTTCGTGGCCACTCCGCCGTAGTTCACCTGAAAAAGAGATATTTTTAAGAAATCAAACTAAAAGTGTGATCGGTCTTTTACTGAGTATTTTAACAAAGTTTTGTGCAATATTTTATGTATCTGTATATTAATTTGAGTGGAATCGACTTCGTTTTGCTACGAAAATTCACATTGATTACTTTAATTCTGACTTAAAGATAATATATTATACAAAAAATCGTACAAATAATAAAACTTTAATTCAAGATTTACGAAATCAGTATTCTGATTGTACCATCACAACATGCTGGGAACTAGATGTAGGTGTGTAGTGCGCTTGAACAGTCCCGTCCCGCTTGTCATCTAATCTGAACGGAACTTCCCTTCCAAGCGCATCCTGGATGGCGACTTCCAGAGCCGCCTGACCGGCCTTTCTCGCATCAACCGTAAAATGCGTCGGTTTATCTCGGGCAACACCTTCCGGCTGAATTCCTGGTCCATTCACTTCAACCTGCAAAGCAGGTAATATCCTTCTTTTATCGAGTCAATAAAAGCAATATTTTATCATTTATTTTGTTAGTAGTAATTTTATTAGTAAAAAAAACATAAAAATCTGTAAAAATCGATGAAAATCTATAAAATCTTGTTTTTCATTACTTAATAATTTTATACATATCTACATTTATATATGTAATTAAATATATTAAAATTTATATCAACATGTGCTATACACTCTCGAATTTACCTTCTCCGGATCGAAGTCGCTCTTCGGTGAAATAGTCGCCATATAGGGCGATTTAGGGATGTCCTCGTTATCACAGAGGATGTGGACCGCGTACTGGCCCGGCGCGGTGGGTAGGTAAGAAACATCGGCGGTTCCATCGCCATTATCGTTGCATTCTATCTTCGCTTTGGATGGGCCTTCGATGGAAAAACCAAGGGCGCCGGTCTCACCGTTTGTGTCCACTGTAAATTTCGCTGGATGGCCGACGACGCCGGTGTGCAGACCTGGTCCGAAAGCTCTGATGTTGGACTCCTTGTAAGGAGCCACGTTGACCTCGAAGGGCGACTTCGGGATCTCTTTGCCGCCATACGTGATCATTACCACGTGACGACCTTCTTTAACCGGTGTGTAGTGGCACTTGTAAGTCGTAGGGTCGGTTTTGGACATTCTAAAGTAATTTAATGCAATGGCCCGTAAATTGAATTAAATCATAATAACTGCATTTAGAGCAAAACATCTCGCGCAAGATATTTGCTTTATTACATATTTTTCTTATTTTCTTTTTCAAATTTAAGCAGACATAATTTTTCTAATTTTATTTGTACAATTCTTGCAGTTCTTATTCTTGATAGTTGATTTTCTCTCATTAACATTTAAAATAAATTATACGAAAATAATAACTCTTTACAATTTAAATTTATTCGAAAATAATAAAATATAAAAATAACAAATATGGCATAATAAACCAAGAAAATCTTAAAAGTATCAAAGTCTTTTTTAACGATAGTTTGCTAAATAGCAAGAACTTACTGTACTGGTCGATTGACGCCTCCCGGGCCGATCACGCGAATATCCAGTACACCCTCGCCAGCGTCCTTAGTGAGAACGACGAAATCGGCGATGTCCTGTACGCGGACGCCAGTAGGCAACAGCCCTCGTCCGTACGCTCTGCATTTCTTCGCGTCGGAAACCGGCGCTATGTTAACGCCAATAGGACTTCCGGGTATGGGTTTGCCGGCAAAGAAAATATTGACGGAATGTAGACCCGTCACTGGCGACACATACTCGCATCTCCAGACGTCTGGCGAGGTCTGGCGCAGTTTTGCCGGCACCGTCGTTTTGCTGCCCTACGATAAAATTACATATATGCAATTATTTTAACGGGATAATAAGATTTATTTATTATAATAAATTTAAATCTATAATACTTGTAACAAACACTTCATCTGTTATTTAGTAATAAAGGTCTAACGAACATGTTTTTTTTTTAATTTAACTTTAAATTGAAAGCGACATTATTTTTTTTTTACCTGCGGATCTAAGATAATGACTTCCGGCACGCCGCGACCGGCGTCCTTCGTAAAAACGTCGAAGAAGGTAGGTCTATTCACGACGACTCCTTCCGGTTGCAGACCCGGCCCGCTCGCCGTGACTTTGCTCGGATCGCCGGCGTGTCCCTCGACATTAACGGTGTACGGGCTCTTCGGAATTTCCCTGCCGGCGAAGAGCACCTTCACTTTGTGCGGACCTTCCGTCTTCGGGGTGTACGACACCGAGTACGTCAGATTCCTGTCCTTGTTGAATCTGATGTCGACCTTGAAAACGCAATCGAGTCGAACGTCATCAGAATATGACAGGAGAAGAAAAGACAGCGTTCGTTCAACTTGCAATATCGCGAACGCTCATGCGTTCAGATAATACGTAATATATCACGCGGCACACAAATAGTCATTGCATCATACGTGTTCACGTCCTGCGTAATTATTCCGATTGCGATAAACATCTCTTGACTTCCGGCAGTACGCTCGACAATAATTGCCGTTAGCATATATCTACTTAATATAAACGACATAGATTTCTGCGTTTAGTTTACAGAAAATTTTGGTTCTGTTAGCATTTCTAGTAAATTAAAAAATTATCTTCTTTTTCAATAATGATCGTTCGTAAGTTTCGATTTTATCTTAGTAATCAAGTAAACTAAAATATTATTAAAAATAAAAATCTAACTGTAATAAATCAAACTAGTACTCCTTCAACTTTTCTAAAAAAATTTACTACAAATATAATTTTGTAATCCTTTCATAATCCCGTATAAATAAGTTTAATTACTTACAAAAAAGAAATTCGTATTTCGGACATATCAAAGGAATGTGAAAAACTATTATCTTTGGGAAACATTTGGAATGTAAAAAAACTATTTCAAATTTTTGGAAACAATTTGCATAAATTTGCCTAACCAATCTTTTGTAGCATAAGATATTGAAACATTTTATATTTAAATACACGCACACAGAGAGAATTTTTTTTTAATTTACCCTGCAAATCATGTTAATTATGGGACAATATAGTGTTTAGGCAAATTTTACTGTGCACTACAATAAGATTTCGCAGTAAAATTTATTGTAGTGCACAGTAAAATTTATCTAAATACTATATTGTCTCACAATTAACATGATTTTCAGGGTAAATTTTAAAAGGAAATTCTCTCCGTGCATGATCGAGCATTATTTTCGATCGGCGCGAAGGTCCTTACCGGTAGCTTGTTCCCTTTGGGATCATCGACGATGACATCAACGTTACCCTTGCCGGCGGAGAAGGTTTCCACGGTGAAATTGGCAGGCGCACCGACGATTGGACCGGTTGGTTCTATGCCGGGGCCGTAAGCGCGCACTCTGCGCAAGAAAACACCGTGAGAAAAGGTAATTTGCGAGCTGCCAGCCAGCGGCCGCGACGTTGTTACATCAATACGTTAAGTAAATCCATTTGCCAGACGGTTACAAGCGTTGCTTTGTGCTACGCGTGGTTGCGCGATTTGCGTCGTTCTTTTCAAAAACAAATTTGCAAGCGCGCGACGTTCTTTTTGCAGACACTTGCGGCCACTCACTAATATCTAGTTAGTTCAACTCGGCTCCTCCGTGAAACTTTCGGGTATGTATACACGTGTGTACAGAGAGATTGATCAATGGTATCAATGGTATCATACGTTTTGAGAAAAGAAAAAGAATATATCTGTCTCGCAAAACTCGGAATAAGGTATAAGGTTGTCAGTACCATACTAATCAAACTCTCGCTCGTTTCCTCTTCAGGAAGTTTGCAAATCGTGTGTATTGTATGTACTCGCTAACCGCGCACTACGCAGAGTTTGTTTACTCTATCAAGCGTTTACGTACATAAACGTACAAAGGAATGATTAGGAGTGTTGGGTTAAGAGGTAGATCTCATCAAGGCGGCGGATAAATTAATTGCGCAAAAAACCGTTATACGTCACAATACATGATCATTGCGCGACTTACCGCGGCGGTGGGATGCTGCGACCGAGAAATGAAATAAATTGATTAATTAATCACAGTCGTCACTATACCAGAGATCTACAAGCGCGCACTTTGTCTCTCGTATTTCTTATACCGAATACCATACGGCCAAAAACGAAAAAAGAAAATCATTTACAGTCATCTTATCCTCGGACGATCGAAATTATAATAAATATCACTGATTGATAACACTTTTTACGAGCAATATAATTTTTCGAAACGAAAAAATCATATACAATATTTGAAATAAAGGAATTCGCAATAATTAAATAACAAAAGTAAATAAATAATCTAAAATACGTCCTCGTAATGACGCTTTAAAAAATACAAATTTTCTATCCTTACCTGTTTGGATTCGTGCGGGCGCGCAGAGGTGCACCTGGTTTTAATTTTGCGCTGGGATATTGCGACAGGTATGTCATCATCGACATCTCGTCGATGTTTGGGTTCACCATCTCTTCGGGTTTAATGAGCTGAAACGAGAATGACGTAATTCATTTCACGCTTACAATTAGCCGAGGAATTAAAAATTAATTTATCCATACTATACATCTTCTAGTTTTTACGTATATATGTTAACTAATCAGATCTTCTCGCAGCTCATCTTTGATTAAAATATAATCCATTAAACAATCCATTAAATAAAATAAAATTTAACAACAAAATTAATGTCATATAATTAGTAAAATCTAGCATAATATTATTATATTATAATATTGATCAAATCTTTCTTTATTTCGAGTAGAGCTTAAAATCAAATGATTTATGTAATATTGCGGCGCGTGCGAACCTGAGGAATATTGAGCCAGTCGTCAGCGAGACCCATCGCTTCGGACGCGTTCTGGATCGCATCTTTCGGGTTCCAATCCTGCCAATCCGGGCAAAGGCCGGGCGCGACGGCGTCAACAAGCGCACCCACCGCGCGGCCGTCATTCCAATCGGAAGTGAAGTTTGTGATCGGCAGATCCGGCACCTTCGACTGGATCCAGTGCATCAGCCTTTGCTTCGGAGTAGCGCCCTTGTCCTCGCCGTCGTCGCCTTCCCACATGGGCATAGAGATCGAATAGTGCAGGATCAGGGTCCATATTAGACCGAGGATCAGCTTCAATTTGCAGTCTACGATGTCCGAAGAGTCTGGAAAAATAGAAAAGTAGATAAATTAATTTTCTGTGTATGAGCAAGCTTTTATAAACCATATATTATATTCTGTTGCTGGATAAGATAGTGTCGAAACATTAGCCGTGGCAACGTTTTAACAAATCAATCGTGTCTATTTATGAATCTCTGTCTCTTTTTATATGCTTATTTGTACTTTTATTTTTATTTTATTTTTATTTTATTTTTCTTTTTTGTTAATTCTCTCTTTTGTACTTTACTTTGTATTTTTTATATTTCCGTTACCGTTCTTAGAGGGCTTGCCCTAGAACGTCAATAAATGCGTTTATCTATCTATCTATCTATCTATCTCCTGATATTTTCGAGTCGATTAACAAGAGCTAGTTTGCTATTTGCGAAAGATTAAATTTTGCTATCATGAATTAATGTAAAAATTTTTTCTTATTTAAATATTGCAAAATATGAGTTCATGTAGAGAAAATTCTTATTTTAAAGTTGTATCATTTGCAACCTGTAATAAACACGCGCGCGAGTTGAGTAATAATTTAAAATTGAAAAGTACAGCTATCTCTTATTATAAACTTATTATTCATGAGTGAGTAACTTCCTCTCTTTCGCGAAGAGATTTCATTGAGTTTTCCCTTCCGTTGCATAAAGTCTTATTATTCATCGGTAGATCGATCACCGCGCAATTATTCGACATGAGTAAGATCGAGTGGGCGTTATTAAAGAAATATTTCGCCACGATGCATTTATGGAATCGGGATGTCGCGTTCCTTCACAATGCATGTCTCGAAGTGACGCTAACGAAAAAGCGCGTTACGTGTTTGCGCAACGAAAGTGCTAATAGATATCCTCGACGCGCAAATGATTCATGTTGAGCGATCGCCAAACGATTGTGAATACGTGCAGAATCTGAATTTTCTACAGAACTGTATCAATTGTGATTGGTAAACTTTTAGCAAAACAAGCAAAGCTGCATGTGTGTCAGAATAAAAATTAAAATCAGAACGCATAACATGTATGTGCAATATTATCAAAATGCGGAAATAGTGAATAGAAGTAAACAATTTAATTTTTTTGAAAAATCACCTTCGGTACAAAGATCTCTCTTACTGACACTGAGAGCGAACCAATACTTGATTTCAGTTGTAATAACTCAATTGAAGTAACCAACTCGTAAATAAATCAACAACGTTCTATCACACACAATGGAAGCATATCTTTCTTACGTCCGATTTCATCGTAGATTAACTTTAATCTCGGTTAACTTATTCTTCATCTTTTCCTAATTCTTAGAACTAGAAAAAAATGAGCTAACTAAAGCAAAATTAAAGTTAATCTACATGTGAAAATGGGCATTCATGAGATACTGACAGATTTTATGAGACAGTGAAAGATTTTAATTGTGTCAATCGTGACAAAAATCACTAAGATTAATCAGCATAATTTAAAGATAACTAATTTTTTTATTTTCTTATTACATCAACTTTTATGTAATACGCTGATAATTCAAGCATGCTATTCCGCGCGTAACGTCTCGACACGTCACTCTCTTGACATATCCCTCCGCGAAGATAAAAAGGAGCTCTCACGGTTGTCGTAGATCTCTTGAGAATAACGCATGAAGATGCACTCGGTCGCGCGAATTTAGTCGGATCCGAAGCCGCCGCGGCTATTTCTGTCGGGCACTCGACATTGTCCCGCCGTCGATGAAGTTCGCGTTGTTCGCACGACGCGGGGAATCGCCTCGTCGCGTCGCCATCGGTGACGATTCATCCGGACTATTTTCAGCAATTACCGAGAGCTAACCAAGTGATGTCAGCGAAAACGTAGTTAACGTCGTGACAACGCGAACCGGCCAAGCGCCAGCTAATTCACCCTGTGACGCCAAGCCTCCGAGATTCTCGAGCGTTCAATCTTCCACCCACCCGACTTTCTCATCACAAACAATTAAAGTGGAGACTAACATCCCTGGTATCGAAACCAAGAACCTCTAAAATCTCTATATAGAAATATAAGAAGAAGATATTCTTACAGTACATTATCTTATAATATACTGTAAAAATAATACCTGAGTTATTCTCAATGTATAATATTATAATATACAGTTAATATGTAAGCGCTTTCAAAACTTGACATGCTTTGATAATGTTGGGTTTACATCTATAATGCAAAGAAAGAACAATGCGCGCTCTCGTACCTTGTAATGTTACTCGCGCGATGACGTGAATAATGTGCGTGAAAAAAAACGAGAGCGAAATATAAGGTGCTATCCTTTTGTTTGAACACTCGAAATGGATACCCATTGTCGAGTCTCTCCTTTAAGTTGCACTTTACTTGACCGCAATGCAAAAGTCGTATGCCAGCTTACAGACGAGCTGCAGAGAAAGTCTCCAGTATGCAGGCAATGCAAAATTTTACCGTAATAAATGAGCAGATAATTCGATGACGTATTATTATTTTGTTTGAAGATACAATTAGTTTTATAACAAATTCATTGAATTTTCCCTATTTTAAGAGATTACTCAATATTATACTTGAAGACTGAACTTTAAATAACTGTGCAGGCTGCGAGTCTTATATCAACTATAATTTTAATTGATTCTCCAGAAATTATGACAATATGCAGGACGCAAAAAGTCCTGAAAATTTTGTATTAGAACGCCAATACGACTGTTGCTGAGAATTACTTTACTCGTACATTTTTCTCGCGTTGCTTTTCAGCGAGCAATAATTCACTTGTCATCGACGCATCTTAATGACCAGTAAAGCCAGAGACGCCAATTGCATTCCTCTTGATACTAGGTAATGGACATGTTTGCTTCCAATGCTATAGATGCTATAGATCTTTATACGGAATGATTCTTGCAATGAGATACGATCTTTCGTAGAAAATAAGCTCTTGAATTACAGACATAGGATACAGCTCTTTGTATTATTTCACTATTTCAATTTTTTATTACATCAATTTACTTTATAAAATTGTCCAAAATCTATTAGCAACTTTTGTAACTCAACATTTTAACAGTAATAAGTATTTTAACAGTAATGAAAAAATGGTAATGTGATAGTACTGATAGTTGTTAACATTTTTTTGTTAGCGATTATAAATGCACGGAGAAAAAAAAAGACGATTAAATAGTCAGCAATAAAAAATTCATTAATGGGATTATGTGTCAAGACCGCATTGTGATACTATTTTTAAGAATGTCGACAGTAAGGTCGGCATTCGACTTCAATGATTTAATGCAACAAATTTCAATGACACCCATATGTGCAAATAAAAGTAACAGGTGAATCTTCATTAAGGAAAGACTGTAAGTAGAAATCCCAGTGTTAATAGAATGAATAGCCAGCCAGACGTTTTATTTTCTCAAGATATAAGGCTATACTATACGAATATCACATGAATACTTGTCCTACGCAACGCGATTACTAGCACAATGTATCTCTGTGTCTGCAAAAACATTATATCAAAAAAGGAGTCATATCGCAATTGACTAATGAATTATTTTCCAATATTTTATAACGTTTCACAATTCACACGAGTCAATAAAAAAAAAAATAATTCGAAAATCAAGCAAGTACATATGGGCAGTATCAGAGGCTTTAAATTTTATACCATTCTGCGAACGGTAGTAAAAATTTATTTCCTCGTCTCGCATTAACGTGGCGACCGGTCGTGCGCTCGTCGCTGAATAGCGAGCTTCAAAGTTGAATTCGATGACGTAATGAATATACAGTCTAGTCCCCATCATAAATATACAATATCGGCGCGGAATTCTAAAATCTTCCGACAGGAACCGAAGGAATCGTAGGCTCCAAGAACCCGAGGACCGCTTTAAGAAAAAAAAAAGTATACCGATCAGAATTCGCGGGTCCAGAAACGGGCCATCTTTATTACTCTTTCATCTGGCCCCGACAGTAGTCGGAGTGATCTATTCTCGGATCGCGAGAATCTTTGTTGTGTAAAACGAGACTCCCAAACGGATTCTTCGCGAGCGCCGTTTCCGGCGGTGCTGGGATTCGAGAAGAGGAACGAGCAGGAGAGGTCGTGAATCAGGATAAAACTTTATTGTCGTTCCTGCATTTTTATGAGAAACAGTAACGAAGATTATACAAGCAAAAGAGGCGAATAAGAAAATTGGATCGCAAATCGTAGAGAAGTTGCGATGAAAACTGCGACGATCAATTCAATTATCTGCCGCACGCTCAATCGTCGGCTTGAAGCCATTAAAGATAATTTAATAATTAACGACTAAATGGAGAATTCTGCGATATTGATTTTTCTTTCTTCGTGTTAACGGTACGCGTGTAATATTACAAATAACTCGGCCACGAATCGTTGAATCACTCGTTATATTAATGTGCAATTAAAAAGACTGGACTGAATATCGCGCATACACTTGTCCGTTCGTGACGTTTTCAACGGCACGTCTTCCAACAGCGAGTTTAGACGGTGACGTCACTAATCCTCGAGAGATTACCTCACTGAGCGGAGAGAATGCCTGGTCAGATCTTTGCCAGAGCGATCCTCTCTTTTCGATTGTCAAGGTGCGCGATCGACATCTGTCAATGAAAAACTGCACCTCAAATGTAAATTCAATGTTCTTCAGTTTGATATAATTGGCAGTGCTTTTCAATATTTTCCACGCGTTTTCCAGTTACTTTATTTTAACGTTTATTTTAACTTTTTATATTAATTAATTCACTATTTGATGTGAACCAAATAATGTAATTAATATAAATATTCATATTTATATACAATGTATAATTAAATTAAATAATACAAATATTCATATATTCATACAATATATTAATCTTTTAAATTTATATTAATTACATATTTCATTTGATTCTCGTTAAATGGTCACAAACTTTGAAGAAATATTTTCGTTTGGCTCGCACCTATAGAATATAATATTTGGAATTTGTATAGCTATGGGACGAAGGCGAAATTTTTTGTGTTTCTAAAGTGCTAAAAATAAAGAAAACAAGCAAAGGAAACGACATAT